TCTTGTTGAAAAGGAGTCAAAATGAAAAGCAGCGCACAAACGAAATGTAAAAATATTATTATTTTTTCGACATACATACGTATGTACATATGTATGTACATCTATATAAATATATATATATATATATATTTTTTTTTTTGTTTTCAAGTTGGCGGCTTGAGCAACTTTGGCTGACTTGGCTAAAAATAAACGGCCGCAATAGTTGGTGCCAGGGAGGGGAGCAACAAAACACACGCACACATACGGTATACACACCAACATGCATAGATACACATACACAAACATATAAATATATATTTATATATGTATGTATGCATGTGTGTGCGTGCGTGTGCGCGAGCCAAACTTTTGCCTTTGGGGTCGCGCCGTGTTCTGCGCGCGCTTTTCAACCCCCACCCAATTGACGACGGCGATGCAGCAGAAGCAGAAGCAGAAGCAGCAGCAGCAGCAGCAGCAGCGGCAGCAGCAACAGCAAGAAGAAGAAGCGGCAGAAGCAGTGCAAAATCGGCGCACAAATTCAGTTTTTAACATTCGCCCCCCGCACAACACAAAAAGAAAAAGAGAAAAAAAATCAATAGAAATAACAAAATACAGCACATAAAAAAATGCGCTGCTTGTTGCGCCCGCCAACTTAATAATATATGTATGTATGTATGTATATGTATGCATGTTTATATGTATGCATGCATTAAATAGTTAAGCTTTAAACTGTTTCTGGCACTTACCGTTGCTGTCTGAAAGCACAGCCTACAAATGGTGTCCATGGCTCTGCTCCAGTTTGGCGGCAGGGGCAGGACAACGTGCTCGCTGCGTCTTGCGGTATTGTTATTGTTTCTGCGGATGCTCCTGCTGCTGCTGCTGCTGGTGATGCTGCTGCTGGTGCTGGTGGTGTTGCGGTTGTTTGGCGTTGCACATGTATTGGCAAGGGGAACGGGATCGGCTAACTTTACCGGTTAGCATTTACACGCATCCAAAAGCTTTAATTGCCTTGTATTCTTTTTTTAACCAATGCAATAACAACACACTGTAACACACACACACACACACACGCACGCTAGCACGCACACAGAGACAGCGATCTGCGTTTGTTTAGTTCTTGTTCTTGCTGTTGTTTATGTTTGCCACTTGCACTCCGCTTGCGTTGTTTTTGTTGCTTAATTTCTATACAGTTTTTTTTCTTCTTATTTTGGCGTAGGGTTAAAATTGCACTTTACTTTTTTTTTTCTTTTTTTCATTTACCATTCACGACGAAGGTTTTTCGTCCGTCGTCGTCGGTCGCGAGCAAACGAGCGTTTTTGGGGCCCCCGATGTTATTGTTTGGTTGTGTGTGTACGCGTATGTGTTGGAAAAAAAATTGAAGCCATCTGTCACTATAGCCGTACTGCTCTAACACAGGCTGCATTGAGCCATTGGCCAACAAGGTGCCATCTCTGTTTGCAGAACTAACCAAACAACAGATATCGTTAGCCAACACTGGCATTCAATGTGCAAGCATCAGAGCGCGTAATTTAAATTTGAAACGCTAAAAACAACATCGATTTAATCAAACACAAACAATGGCTAAAAACACGATTAAAACATAGAATTCAATGATAAAATTAAAATGGCGACACAGCGCCTTAAATACAATAGACAAATGTCCAAAAAAACAGATTAAAGACCAAAAAGGCAATCGGAAATATGAAACGCGCTCGGCTATCAATCCAAATGGCAATTTCCTGTGGTGTCAGTGTTGTCCAGCCGGTAGAAGCAATCTGTTCCTCATGACTGAACTCTTCACCTAACAGATTGTTGCAGCTGCTAAAATCCGGCAGCTCCATGCTGGTGGCAGCGGCAACAGGAGCAGCAGCCGTAGTTACAGTAGCGCCCAAGGCGCTTTCCACAAACGTCACATCCAGCTTGCGATTGGTGCTGCTCAGCATATGAAGGCTATTTTTTCGATTCGGAGCCGTTCGCGGAGCCATCTCCTGGCCCTCGGTAATGGTCGAAATGGGCAAATTGACCGTCAAATAGTTGTTGAACGGTGGATTGCCGCCCAGCGAGCTGCTGTCCGTCTGGCGTCCAGTTCCTGAAAAGGAAAGGGAGCGGGCGTGGCTGCGGCGACGCATCAAATGCGGCGATAGCGTCGACTTGAGTATGTGCCGACTGTTGAGCTTCCTGATGGGCACATTGTGTTTGCGCCGCCAAATGCTGTTCACAAATGCAAACTCCACCATGCTGCCGAATATGAATATGGTGCAGCCAAGAAACCACACCTCCGATACCTTAATGTAGCTGACCTTGGGTAGAGTTTTGCCTGCGTACAACAAAAGTCAAATGTTAAAACAATCGACATCATGATTCGAAGTGCTCATCGTAAATTACCCTGTGCTGATGCGAGTGTAATAAATGTTAACATGGTGCTGGTGCCTAGGGTAATGCGTGGCGGCGCTTGGTCCGCTTGCAGCCAAAAGGATACCCATGAGATGGCCACAATTAAGATCGAGGGCAGAAAGTAGTCCATCAAATAAAAGCCCACCACGCGCGTCAAATGCACCGTAAAGCTGAGTGAACTATAATTGCCGGCAAAGGCGCCATGGCGCAAATCGCTTAAATCGGCATTGATCACCGTCTCATTTGACCAGGAGCGCTGCAGCAGAAACTCGGTCAGATGCAGTGCCGGATCGTATGTGATGGGACGCTTTTGCTCCCAATGCAGCACCAGCTCGGATGTGTTATACATCCAGCTCTCCAAGACCGTGGAGCAGTGCTGCTCATCAAATGGAAATTTCTTCAAATTAAGCCAGCAATAGAGCGTGGCCTTAATGCGCGTCGAGACAATGACCGTGCCATCCGGCGAAACAGATGTCAGAATATCCTTCTCCGTGGTGCCTAAGTATTCCAGAAATTTGTTGGCTCAGATCTGATAGATTTAACGACACTTACCCAAGATGCTGGAGTCGCGCTCGTTGGCCAAAAAGATGTGGGGCAGCCACAGGGAATCGCGCAGCTGCTGTTCACCCAAAATGGGCTGCAGGCGTTTGGGTGACACATGTCGGAAATTCAATCGTGGATCCAAGTAGCGCATCTGCAGCAGTGCAAAGATCTTGAATTGCAGATCGTGCGCCTCCAGGTTCTGCATAAAGTATATATAGGCGCGCATGTACACATCCACGGGCAGACGTGTGCCCGCCTCAGTGTACGTAACAGGACGCTCCAGGCGATCGTAGCGGCAGCCGTGCGTCAGGCGATCGATCAACTGCGTCTGCGACAAACTGTCGCCGTTCGCCAGCGTTGGGCAGTCGTCGTCGATGGCGGCCACAGCCAGGCGCAAACAATTTAGCAATATTGAAATAATGAGTGACAAATTCATGGTGGACAACACAACTAATACGAAAATTCGAACAAAATGAGTTTGCAAAATGCAGGCAGCTCAATAACGGTTAAGGCTGGTGATGAGCGCAAGTGTTTGATTTGTTGTAAACGCGCCAAAGCCTATCGATAGCTGTTAAGCGCGATACTTATCGCACATGTTAACCACCACCAGCGATAGTATGCCGCAATACGATAGTGTGCCACATGTACGAATTTATGTTTTGGCTGGTTAATGCCGAGAACTTCACCTCATTTTCGCCAAATTTTACTTGATTTTGCACAATAGCTTTGAATGCAATGTTTTGCGCTTAGCTATATCGATAGCTAAGCATAATTATGCATTGTTGACGCGTACATGCGATTTATTTTTATAGCACAATTTCCTAGTTAACTCACAAGTTGCTAGATGGCGCTAGCGTGCCCAGCACCTTTCGGAAATGGCGTGCAACGCTTTTTGTAACAGATTTTTAAATTGTAAGATTCCGAATATATTAAATTGAATAAATAATTAAATTATTTAATTACATTGAATACTCTCAGATACTTCAGAATAATATTGTAAGAAAAAGAAAAAAAAAACTATTGATTGTCTTTCAAGCAATTAATATCAAAATTTATTCGTAATTTTATGAAATTGCAAGGGCTTACATCATGTTTTTTTTTTCAAAATCGGGATCGATTCGAAAATTAAAAGTTTTTTGGTGCCTTTTTTTTAATATCTCAAGTAAATATTGCCTTTTCTCAAAACCGGGCTCGAAAATCAAAATATTTTTGATAATTTTTTACAATATCTCGTGTAAACATCGTCTGATTTTTTAATGTAATACCTCTTTGTATTCGCACGGATATCCATTATCGATTGGCAATCAATTGAATCTATTATTTGGGGGCTGAGATGAAAGTTTTTGACAAAAAACCAACTCTGAAATTTCCATCTTTTTGATGATTTTTATATCCTAAACCCATTGAAAATGGACAGCACAAGCTTGTTTCCGATAATCGATAAACTGTCCCACTTCCAAGTTATCGATAAAAATCGATATCGAAATCGCGTTTTTTGAGCAAATATCGCAGATTATAAGAGCTAGACTGCGATACGTATAGATAAAGTATCCTTTATCTTATGACTATCACAAAAATTATAAATCAAGTAAATAGAGCACATTTTTTTTGCCCATTAAATGAAGCCAAAATTCAATTCAATTCACCCGTAAGCAGAAATGTTAAATATTCTTAAGCTGTCTATGCGAGAATCTAGATTCCAGATGCCTAGATTTCTATTTCCAGCCGCGTCTCCAAATCGATATTTATCGATATGATGCAAATGTTATCGATTAGACATTTGGTCTAACTTTTAACGCTTGCCCGTGTAAAAATTCTCTTTTCTGGCTATATCTATGCTACTCAGAATCGTTAATTTATAACTTTCTTTTAGTACAAATGCAAATTGTGGAAGTTGCAAGTGGTATTACTTAAGGAAGCAAAACAATTTCGCTTCATAAATAAACAAATCTATCAATTAAGGATGAGGCTGTCGACACGCCCATCCGCCCACACGCCCACACGCACTTAAGAACTTGTCAGCGCTGGGAGAAATATGGCCAGAAATGTTTTGCTTCGACTTGCAGCATTGTTTGTTCCCGCAACCCACCCCCCCCCCGCACCGCAGCCTAACCCTTGAGGCTCCATCCCCCCTGCCATTTGTGGGGTTTTCTTTTTCAGTTTTCCCGGCCAAAGCGCTGCGTTGTCATTGGTAAGAAACTTTTTTTGGCGCAAGTTGAGCTTATTGCCCAGAAACTCAAGCCACATTTCAGCCCTTCTGTCACATCCCCCCCCTCTCCACTGTCCCCTGCGCCTGCCAATCGTCGAGTGCTGCATGAATTATGAGCGTCTGCCAAGATTTATGAATACCAAAAAAGCACGCAAAAAAAAAAAAAAAAAATAAACAGAAGAAAATTTCTATCTACAAAAGGCTTCTGCAAGCCAAACAAAAAGCCAAAATCTGTCAGCTGTTAAGTTGCGTTGTAAATTTCCCGCAATTAGGTTGAATTTCAATTTCCCTTGACGCTGGCCGGGCTGCTGCTGGGCGATGAGAGAGTGGGGGAGGGGGGGAGGGGGGTGGGGTGGCAGCTACTTACTTTGATTGCGATTATGCCGCAATGATGCGATCCAGCCGAAACCCAAACCCAAACCCAAACCCGAGCCCGAAGCAAATTCGTGGACACGCTCATAAATCACAAACAAGTCGATTTTTTAGCGCTTTTTATCGATGCCTTTTGTTGCCAGCCCCCACCGCCCCCCCTCACCCTCACACTCCCCCCAGGAACTGTGCAACAATTTATACGCTTTAAAGAAGGGTATTACCATTTTGTCTCACAGCGAACATTGTGTCTTTAAAAGTCTTTGACATTAAAATAATGCTTGAGCCTAGTTTTACATTTCATATAACTATATAGAAAAAAGAATCTGCCGGATCGCATTTATATATCCTAGTATTCATAGCTTTAGTGTATTTAATTTTCGGCTTGCCGAAGCTTGTTCTTTTCTATTGTTCATACTCTGTTCGGCACGAGAAACTGCAGCATATTGTTGTCCTTTAGGTTAGTCGAACTATCGATAGTTTTTATATATATTCAAAGAAAAGTCTTTCATTGATAGACTATCGATAGTACTATCGATATTCGTTATTCAGACATAACTGCAAATTGAAATGTTTATCGGAAATTTGGTAGCAAACTATCGATAATGTCATCGATACTTTGCCAGCTCTCAAGTCCAGGCGGACGCTCGTTCTGTTTGTGAGCCAGAGACTGGAAACTGTGTATGTAAATCCCCTGTAAATCTTTTCCAGGGACGAAGATAGCATAAGAAAGCATGCAAGTTTTGGAAATCGATAGCTGCAGATAACGATAAATTGCTAATAAGCTATGATTTATCGCTGTGAACGAGATAATCGATATATAGCACTTGTTAGGCAATATATTTATAGCTGTAGATATCGATGTATTGAAATTTTTAAACTATAGATCTATCGCTATTAAAATCGATTTATATCGCAGTGAACGATAAATTGATAGGTAAAGAAATCGATAAATATCAGTTTTTAGACAATTTAATAGTATTTAAGCGATAAATTTATCGCTGTAGAAATCGATATATATCGATATCGATATCATATGCAATATATCGATTGCCCTTTTCGGCTGATTTTACCGCTAACTTAAATTCGCGCAGAGTATCGCGCAGTCGTACACGACCGACTGCAACGTTCTCGCTTGTTATTTGCATTTTGATTCCTTTCTCTTTTTTTTTGGTTTTTCCTTATTTTTTTTTTTTTGCCTCTGATTGGCTGCCAGTGCAGTTTTTCCGCCTCAATGCCTTGTGCGGTTGCGCAGGGGGCGGGGGTTGTTTGGGCCGCAGCAAAATTGGCAAACTCATGGAAATCCAAACGTTTCCATTTATTTTTTGTTAAACAACAATTAAAACCAAAAAAAAAAAAAAAAGAATGAGAATTGCACACAAGACTGAGACATATTTATGTACAATTTGTAATGTGCATCGGCAGCGATACCCTTCGATATTTCGGCTAAGCGTGCCTTTGCGTAATCGGATACCCATTAAAACATTTGTCAATTATTTTTTTAGTTGTGGCAATTAAATTGCATTATTCGCAATTCACAATTCTCGATGAAATGTAATCCCATCGCACTTTTACAGGGTATAAGTAAGAGCATAAATTGACAAGGCCTGAAACGGAAACGGAATCGGAAACGGGAACACTTCGCATCGTCTATCTTTTTGTCTTATATAAGATCTGCTGAATTTATGTATCTATATAGGTCTGCTTCTTCTTCCAACTAGGCTACTTTCTGTCTTGATCGAATATAGCCCTGTCGTACTTTTACAGGGTACAAGTAAGGAAATATTTAAGTAGAAAACGACTGTCTATTATTCTTATATAAGATCTGCTGCATTTGTATATATATCGGAATTTTTTATATATACAAATCTGAACAGATTTACAGATCTTTGTCTTCTTCTAGCTGGGCTACTTTATATCTTGGCAAATATAGTCGCTTTGCACTTTTACAGGGTATCAAGAACAGCGCGAATGGACAACGCCCGAAACGAAAACGGGAACACGTCGGATCGTCTACCTGCTAGTCTTATATAGAGTCCGCTCTCTTGAAATATATATATTATATTTATGTTAATCAATCTAAACATTTCTTCAGATCAATTTCTTCTTCTTACAACCCAACTTTCTGTCTTGATGCCATCCCACTTTTACAGGGTATCAAGAGCAGCGCGAATTGACAACGACCGAAACGGAAACGGAATCGGAAACGGGAACACGTCGGCCTCGTTGTCGCGCGCAAGTTGGTCCGCTGTTAACTGCACGTGCCACGCCCATTTGAGAATGAACGCAACGCCACAAATGGGCGGGTATCGTGCATGTTCATTAAGCGCTAACGGAATCAATGAATGGTGTAAAAATTAATATCCTGTGTGCAAAAAAAAAAAAAAAAAAAACAAAAAACCAAAAATAAAACCCGCACACAATTACAAAAAAAACTGAAAAAAAAAGAAAAACGGTAAAAATCGCGGGCAATTCTTATGGCGAAAATACAGCTCCAAAAGGCACATGAACGAGGAGGAGGGGGGGGGGGGGGGGTGGCTGCGTGATTGGTGGAGGGAGGGGAGGGGGGCGGCGAGGTTTTTTGGTGTCAGCAGCCGGCAGCAGTTTTAATTTACACAAAGCGTAGTCAGGCGTGTAATGCGACAAGGGGTAAGGGTAGGCGATAGCGGAAGGGGGAGGGGGGGGGGGGGGCGGGGGCGCAGTCCGTGTTGCTTCACTAAAAGCTGTTATATTGCTGGGATGGAGCAGGGGTGGAGGGGGGGAGGTGGGCAGAGCTTGGCTGACAGCACAGCAATTCGCGACGACAAGGACGACATTTAAAAAATGCCTTGAGGCAGGCGACGACGCCGACGACGACGCCGACGACGACGACGGCGTCAAATGATTTATGAAATTGCTTTTGCCGTTGCGTACTTTGCGTTTAACGGTGAATATGCTGGGTGGAAAGGGGGGGGGGGGTTGGCGAAGGGATGAGTTTTGCGTTAAAGAATGTAGCTTGATGAAGCCGCGACTGATGCGTTGTCAATTAAGAACGAAGACAGAAATACAATCCAAATAGAGAGTACTTTATGCAAATGTTATTACCTCCATAATTCTTTTCATTTTCTGTGTGTGTGTGTGTGTGTGTGTGTGTGTGTGAGGCAGACAACATTTTGCTTCGCATCTAGCTTTTCTGACAACCTTCCATCTTCCACTTTCATACAAATAATTTAATTTAATCATAATATTATGTACTATAGTTAAATTGTTTGTATAATAGAAGAAAAAGGTGCATAGCGGCAGCCTTTGCAGCCAGATCAGTTTTGAACACGTTAACAACTGAAAATGGCTGATTTTAGCTGGAAAATAGCTAAATTGTCAATACAGTTGCGTGCTTATTCTAATAACAGCAGCAAATAACATAAGCTGCTAATGTTATGACACTTAACAGAGCTCTGCTTGTACAACTGATATTTCTCTCCTGTCTGCGCCTCGTGCAGAACAGACCAACTTTTGTCCTGCTTACGATGTTATCCTTCGCTTATTTGCATTATCTGCTTCCCTTTTTCCAATAATTATCTTAAAATAATAATATAATAAATAAATAAATATACAATACGCTATTTGTTTGCAATAGTTTTCACTATTAGCTAACATTTTCCCATTTGACATTTAGACTAAAAAAGTTTTTATTGATGTTTTTAGTATTTTTGAATACTGCCCTACTATGCGATTCTCATGAAGTTAAGTAAAAACTCGCAAGTAGAAGTAGAAGTAACTCGCGCTGGAAATGCAATCTCTCCCGCTCACTCTCCCTCTCCCTCTCTCTCTTTCTCTCCCTCCCAGTCGAGGTCGAAAGTAAAGTCTCTCGTTATATATATTTAATAATTATAAGCAATTTATATTAAACATTGTTCGTTAACATGATTATGCTTGATGATGATGCGCCTAGTCGATCTGGGTAACGGAGGCCTCATCGTTGCTGGAGCAGCGGCTGCTCTCGCCATCGGTGCGATACTTGATGGAATCGATGATCTCCACATCGATGTCCCGCTCGTGCTGCAGGCTGCCCGTCTCCTGAAGAGCGCCGGTCATGTCGCTGGAGCCGCGCCCCAGCGAGTCCTCGTCACAGAGATCCGCACATGCCGACGCCGATTCCGATTTGGTGTCCATGTCCATGCCGTGGCTAGCCGCTGATGCTGCTGCTGCTACGGCTGCCGCCTCCTGTTGTGCGGCGAATTGACTGTAGAGGCGTGGCAGATGCTGCAGCATATAGCTGGCGCCGGACTTGGACAGATTGGCCGCAGCAGCAGCGGCCGCAGCCGCAGCAGCCGCCGCCGTGCTGGCCGCCGGCTGGTTCTCCTTGCTCTCGCCGAGATCATAGTATTTGGCATAGTGCTCGAACTTGCCCAAAGCCGGGCCGGCAGCGATGCCGCCGTTGGCGCACAAATTGATGGCATCGTTCTGCGCCGACTTGGGTATGGGCACGGTGAAGGCGGATCCGTGACGTTGCTTGCTCAGCAAATTGTTGCTGTTGTTGTTGTTGTTGCTGCTGTTGCTGCTGCTGCTGCTGGGCAGGCCCGAGTCCTCGGCAGCCAGCAGGGCGCCGGCGCCGGCGGCGCTGTTGCTGTTGGACAGCGGCGAGACGTTCTCCTTTTTGCGATCGTAGATGTGGCCCGAGACGCGCAGATCGATGAAGAAGTGCAGCGGATCGATGCCGTACGGCGCGTACAGCGGCGGATACCAGACGGGCGGCGGTGGCGGCAACACCAGATCCTGTGGCGGCAGCGATGCTGCTGGCGGCGCATTCTCCTGCAATTGGCTATCGACGGCGCCGCCCAGTGTCACCTTTGTTGCTGGCTTCGGCTCCAGCTTGGCGTAGGCGTATGGCGTGGGCGTGGCCGCTGTCTTATTGGTCAGCTCCAGCGGCTTCTCGGCAGCTGTTGCTGCGGTGCTGGCGTGTTGCTGCTGCTGCTGTTGCTGCTGTTGTTGCTGATGTTGTTGCTGATGTTGCTGCTGCTGCTGCTGCTGATGTTGCTTCTCCTCGGCGTCGCGTCGCTCGCGCAGCTGTTCGTAGTAGGGCCTGTGCGACCAGGAGCGCTTCCGGGAGCGTCGCACCAGCGCCGCCTGCTGCTGCTGCTGCTGTTGCTGTTGTTGCTGCTGTTGTTGCTGTTGCTGTTGTAGCTGCAACACGCGCGCGGTCTCATTGTTGCGCGTCTGCACCAGCGAGCGCAGCATGTCGCTGAAGAAGTAATTGTTCGGCCCCACCGGTGCAGAGTATAAATATGGGGGCGTGGCTGCCATCAGGCGGCTTACGTAGTCCTGATTGCGCAGCTCATGAATGTTGCTCTTGCGCGGCGTCAATTGCTGCTGTTGCTGCTGTTGCTGTTGCTGCTGCTGCTGTGCGGCAACTGTTGCTGCTGTTTGCTGTGCCGCTGTGGGCGTGGCTGCCGCTGCAGAGCTGCCAACGCCTATCGCTGCGGGGCTATTGTTGTTGCTGCCGCAGCTGCTGCTGTTGTTGTTGTTGTTGTTGTTGCTGCTGTTGTTGCTGCTGCTGTTGTTGTTGTTGCTGCTGCTGCCATTGCTGTCCTTCATGCTGTCACTGCTGCAAGCGAGCAAATTGCTATTTTTAATTAGTTAAAATCGTAGTTAAGAGATGACACGCCGTGACACGAACTGATTCGTGCGTGTTGCCTAAATTGCAGTTGAACACGAAAAGGCGATTAGATTAACTAGAAATCGAAGCACAAGTGCTTCTCTAAACATTAATTGTTATCATAAGTGTTAAATATGCTTTATAAATTAATTCTTGCATAAAGTTCGTGACACGACAGACTCGTGCCTAAAATCGAAACACGAAAAGCAAACACGATAGAGCTTACGTCAACTGACACGATTAACCTTTGGCAAAAAGCATCTTCGACCTCATAATACATATATATCTATAGGCCTTGATCGACTATCTACGCAGATGGGGAATATTTCAACTTTTGGTTAGCTACCCCATTCTTAAAATAAGAGCCCTGCGCTTTGGTACTACAACATACCCGGATCGGACTTCAAGTACCGAAACTTTTCGAGTATACATATGTGAAACTAGATCGACGCGAATGGCAGGGCATCACCTAGTTGAGCACTCCCAACTGTAGCGCTCTTTGGGTTATTTAACTGAGTATTAGTCGCTCATCTCTAGCTGGAATCCCTTGCGCATTGTCATTTGCAGTTTTTAGTCTTTTTAGTTGGTTAAAGTTTCTGCTGTTCTGCTCCTGATTTGAATAAGACGTTGTGCAAGATTTATGTCCATATTTGCATTGTCTTCGTTAACGTCTTCATCTTGTCTTGTCTGTGTCCCGTGCGCTCTGTGGCACGCCCATTGCTACGCCCCGCACCCTACTCGGTGCTGCTGTTGTCTACCTTTTGCCTGCACTCGAGCTCGTCTTCATTTTCCATTTAATGGCAATTAAAAATGATTTCCCATTTGCCTCGCAGTCTGTGTGTACTCAAGAAAAGCTGTTTAAATAGCAACGCAAAAACAAGGAATAGTATAAATTGAGATTTAGAATTGTATATGAAGGATCTTTAAAAGTTAAGGCATGCTCGACTTTCTTATTAATTCCGCAAATATTTCTATTCATTAAATATAATTATTACTTATGGAAAGTTTTGGCTTTCTTTTTAAAAGAAACCCATTACCTTAATTTCTTGTTAGACTAGGCATGTTAATATTAATCTGTAACATGGCAGGTAAATGTTAATGTGCCATACCTTAAGATACACTATTAACATGAGATACTTATGTTAATAGCACAATAACATGATCATTCGCAATAAATGTTATTGTGTTGCCTGTTAACATAACATGCCAATGTTAGCTAACAAATGCATGAATATGCGAACATATACCAGTGTACATAACTGTTAGTTTAACATAAAGTTGCATTTTAACAATTAACATGACATATTTCTGTAAGTGTTGCATTCATATATGTACATTAACAGTCGCTGCCTAGCTGAGCAGAACTGTTGCCTAAGTACATCTCAAAACACTTGCAAATCCCTTAAATCCGTTATAATGCACACACAAACACACACACACATGGCCAAATCTTGTTGTACAATGTACGCCCCTACCACATCCCTTTCACAGCCAGCGAAGGGCGCTGTGTGGATTACGTTGTTTGAGGCACGTGCTTTGTGCGGCTCGCAACTCAACAAATTTGCATAGAAAAACAGGCGACAGAAAAACACGACTACACACAGACCAGCACACACACACAGACACACACACACACACACTTGCGCTTAGTCTGTTAATAAGCTTACATGAAGCGCTAAATTCCAGCAAATTAAATGTTTCAACAGTTGCCACACGCACACTAGACTGCAGCACACACACACACACACACACACACACACACAGTGATAAGGCAGGGGAAGAGGGCGAGGGGTCGGGGTGGGGTGTGTGGTGGGGATGACAAACTCAATTGTTGTGTTCGCCTGCCAAACTGTTGAGGCACTTGTCGCCGTTGCCGTTGATGTGGCAGCCACACGTTGCCTGCCTGTATCCTGTCGTTGTCAATTCTAAACGACCAACCCCTCCTCCCTTACCAAACCCCCGCCCCTGCCCCTGCCCTACAAGCACGTCTTGTTGCTCTTTCATTTTCGCATTTGAAAAAAGTTTTTGCTGCCGTCGCGCGTCTGTTGCCAACTTGTTGTTGCCTTTCATTTTGCTGCTACTTCTACTTCTACCTTTTTTTTTTTTTGTCTTTAATTTAAAATATTTTTTATTGTTTTTTCATTTGGTTGTAAAAATATCAAAGTTTTTAACTGTCGCCAGGCGGTTGAGCGAGCGCTTGATTTGCATTTTTTGGCAGCCGCCGGTGAAGGCGCAAACATTTCCGACCAAGTTGAAATTAGATTATGCTAATTAAGGCGTGGCCGACGCCCAACCAACCAACCACCCACTGGGCCCACTGATTGATGCGGCAGCTAGCTTTAATTGGCCGCGCTGTCCGTTTGCGGGGCGAGCAGCATTTTAATATTCAATCAGCAGCTGGCGGCAACTTTTTTATGGCCACAAAGTCGACAAACTTGGCCAAGAGCGCGAGTTAAGTCCGCAGCTGAGATTAATGCGCAGCTGGCAAAAGTGCAACAACTGCAGCAACAACAACAACTGCAACAACTTCGTGTTTGTGTTTGTGTTTGCAAACAAAAATAAAACTTTTGCATAGTTAACAGCAGCAATTAAAGCCAGCAGCCAACTGCTGCTAAAAATATAAATCAGGGTTTGAACCAGCTAACCAGCTAAGCTCTTTTGCACGCAAATCCACTTTCCATACCCTTTCAAAGGGGTATCAGAATTGAGTCGTGCCGTGAGAGGCAACTCCGTCTAGATTAAGCATATATATCTTTCAGATCAGCTTTAGGAGACGATTTTATATAGTTCTGTCCGTCTGTCTGTCTGTCTCTCTGTCCCTCTGCCCGTCGCTTCGTCCATCTGTTTCTATGGGAACTAGTTTCTCAGTCTTATATGTATGTCGAAGCCGACCTGATCGAAGCACTATATCCCATAGCTGCCCTAGGAACAATCGTTCGAAAAGTAGCTTATAAAGAAATATCTTGCCCAAATTTGAAACTTATAACTTATATTAAACTATGCTGCTCATATATATATAAAATCCTTCCTAGATCGGCCCACTATATCATATAGGAACAATTACGCCAAAAGTGAAACAAATATTCTATTTTTCAAGCACTTTTCGCAAAAGTCATATGTTTGCAAGGGTATTAAAACTTCGGCTTAAAGATTTTCTCACTTCTTGCTCAAATTAAAATAAATATTTATTTTTGCTGCATAACAGAACAGTTTTCCCTTTGTTCCGACCAACTTCTATTTATAGGCCAAGTGTTAAAATATTCATGCGATTGTTCAATTTTAGCTTTCCTCAAATATACTATATATTAAATTATCTGTATCTAGTTTTCCCAGGAATTCAGTTCTATGTGCTGAGAGAAAAAAAAATTAAAATTAAAAATTAAATTAATTTCGACGAAATCCCATCTCAAATCCGATTAGCCTTAATACGAACACAAAGTTTCAATTGGAACTCGAAAAAAAGAAATCGAGATAAATTTCTAGATTAATTTAAGCATTGATTTAAGCCCAATTCAAGAGGAACTCTTGTTTGTTTAAATATTGATGGGGCTTGGTTTCTCGGCTTATCTGTTTGGCGAATCGGTTCTTAAAAATGAGCTCAAAATTGTGCCCAATAACAATAAAACAATAAAAAGACAAGCTTGTTTTAAGCTTTTCACACTTAAATCAAGTCTGATTTTGACTTGATTCCAGCACGAAACTCTTTTCTTTTTTCGCTCTGCAAAAGAAGCATCGAACCAAGTCAAACAGATTCTGGAAATACGATGCGTTTCGGCAACTAGTTGAGTTCAAGGCTGGGTTAATGGTAAACCAAATTGAAGCTTGGGCCTGGAATCGCAGCGGCTCGAATCCCGCTGCTCGGCACGGGCAACACTCTGTTGATTGATATGTGTATGTATGTATATGCCGTATACCTTGAACATAAATCAAATCTACCCCTTTGCGGACAACCCTCAGTGAAGGGCGCTTCAGCTGTGCTCAAGCACACACACACACACACACGCGCACACACACAAACAGACGCACACCCACTTAACGGACACTTTACGGGAACATAACATAATTACAGGCATATCAAACAAGGCTTAGTCCATGGCTGGTACGCTGGCACGCTGACAGACTTGTAGTTCGGGTGAGAGGTCAAAGCAACCCCGGCAAAGCAGTTGCACCCTTCTGCAAAAGATTTGCGGTAAGCTAAACTTATTCAGGCCGGACCCTCGATCATAACTAACTGATAAAAATGTCTAAGAATATTTGGACACATATTCCCATTCCCAACTAAAATAATCAAAATCACAGCAAATAATAGAAAAATGGTTCACTAAGATCTTTAGTTGCCTTCTAAAAAGCGCCCAACGAGGGGTTACTTAATTCAATTTGTTCGCGGAGTATTAACACGGAACAGTATCCATTGGAAGTACGACCAGATTAATCACTTTTGACTAACACTACATAAAAACTGAATAGAAGTGGGAGTACGATCAGTGTATAGCGCACAAAGCGCGTGATACTGTTTATTAAACGATTGACGCCCAACGGGGGTGGCGCTTTATATCAAATCATGTAACACAAATTGCAAAACTAAGCAGCTACATTTTCACTTATCATTAGAACTTATTATCTCCACAAATTCGTTGACAATCATGGCAATTCAATCAAATATTGAAGCGCCCAACTTGGGGCACCGAAAATGTTAAAACAGCCTGTCAATCGACTAGCAATTAAGTAGAAGTGTAGCGTGAACTGCACA